TGCCTTCGAATGGAAAGATCCAGAGACTGGCCTAGCAGGGCAACTTACATGGACCCGCCTGCCTCAAGGATTCAAGAATTTGCCCACCATCTTTGACGAGGCCCTCCACCAAGACTTGGCTGCGTTCAGGGCCTCCAAACCCCAGGTAACTCTGTTGCAGTATGTAGATGATCTCCTCCTGGCAGCGGCCGACGAGGAACTGTGTCTGGAAGGAACAAAGCATCTCCTGACAGAGCTGGGAGAACTGGGCTATCAAGCCTCCACCAAAAAGGCCCAGATCTGCAAGCGACAGGTCAGTTACCTGGGGTACCTTCTTAAAAACAGGAAAAGATGGTTATCTGAGGCCAGAAAAGAGACAGTGTTCCACATTCCACCACCCGCTAACCCAAGACAAGTCAGGGAATTTTTAGGTACTGTCAGGTTCTGCCGCCTATGGATACCTGGTTTTGCTGAGATGGCAGCCCCGTTATATCCCCTCACAAAGAACAGTCAGCCCTTCAAGTGGGGAAAGGAAGAATAACAGGCTTTTAACAACATCAAGACGGCCTTGATGTCCCCACCGGCTCTGGGGCTCCCCGACGTAACCAAGCCCTTCCACCTGTATGTGGCAGAAAATAAGGGGGTTGCAAAGGGGGTCCTAACTCAAAAACTGGGCCCCTGGAAATGGCCTGTAGCATATCTGTCCAAAAAACTAGACCCAGTAGTCTCGGGGTGGCCAGCTTGTCTAAGGATCATAGCAGCAGTAGCAGTTCTCGTAAAAGATGCTGACAAGTTGACTATGGGACAGAGTTTGGTAATCTCGGCACCTCATGCTTTAGAGAGTGTTGTCCACCAGCCCCCCGACCGCTGGCTCACAAATGCTCCCATGACTCACTATCAGACTCTGTTACTGAATTCAGACCGGGTTACTTTCGCTCCCCTGGTGAGCTTAAATCCAGCCACGTTGCTCCCAGACCCTGACCTTGACCCTCCTATCCATGACTGCCAACAAGTGCTTGCTGAGGCACATGGCTGGCGGAAAGACTTGTCAGATCAGCCTCTGATGAATGCCGAAGCCACCGACGGCAGCAGTTTTCTGGAAGAAGGAGTGCGGAAGGCAGGGGCTGCTATAGTAGACGGCCAGAACCTGATATGGGCACAGGCCTTACCTGCAGGAACATCCGCCCAGAAGGCAGAACTCATCACCCTCACAAAAGCCCTTGTACTAGGAGAGGGCAAAAGAATCAATATCTATACAGACAGCAGGTATGCCTTTGCCACTGCCCATGTGCATGGTGCTATATATCAACAGCAGGGTCTGCTATCTTCTGGAGGAAAAGAAACCATAAACAAGGCAGAGATCGTAGCCCTGCTAGAGGCCCTTCACAGACCGCTAAAAGTGAGTATTATACACTGCCTGGTTCACCAGAAAGGGGATTCCCCCATCGCCAGGGGAAACAACTTGGCCGATTCTGAAGCAAGGGCAGCAGCCCACAGGTCCACTTCTCTTCTGCTAGTTAACATCCCAAAGCTAGAGGAGCCAAAGTTTAAGTACTCTGCCGGAGACATAGCAGAGATCTCAAGGGACTCTAATAACCACTTCAATCAGGAAAAAGGGTGCTNGTCCTAACTCAAAAACTGGGCCCCTGGAAAAGGCTTGTAGCATATCTGCCCAAGAAATTAGACCCAGTAGCCTCAGGGTGGCCGGCTTGTCTAAGGATCATAGCGGCAGTTGCAGTTCTGGTAAAAGATGCTGACAAGTTGACTATGGGACAGAGTTTGGTAATCTCGGCACCTCATGCTTTAGAGAGTGTTGTCCACCAGCCCCCTGACCGCTGGCTCACAAATGCTCACATGACTCACTATCAGACTCTGTTACTGAATTCAGACTGGGTTACTTTCGCTCCCCTGGCGAGCTTAAATCCAGCCACGTTGCTCCCAGACCCTGACCTTGACCCTCCCATCCATAACTGCCAACAAGTGCTTGCTGAGGCACATGGATGGCGGAAAGACTTGTCAGATCAGCCTCTGACGAATGCCAAAGCCACCTGGTTCACTGACAGCAGCAGTTTTCTGGAAGAAGGAGTGCGGAAGGCAGGGGCTGCTATAGTAGATGGCTAGAACCTGATATGGGCACAGGCCTTACCTGCAGGAACATCCGCCCAGAAGGCAGAACTCATCGCCTTCACAAAAGCCCTTGAACTAGGAGAGGGCAAAAGAATCAACATCTATACAGACAGCAGGTATGCCTTTGCCACTGCCCATGTGCATGGTGCTATATATCAACAGCAGGGTCTGCTATCTTCTGGAGGAAAAGAAATCACAAACAAGGCAGAGATCGTAGCCCTGCTAGAGGCCCTTCACAGACCACTAAAAGTGAGTATTATACACTGCCTGGTTCACCAGAAAGGGGATTCCCCCATCGCCAGGGGAAACAACTTGGCTGATTCTGAAGCAAGGGCAGCAGCCCACAGGTCCACTTCTCTTCTGCTAGTTAACATCCCAAAGCTAGAGGAGCCAAAGTTTAAGTACTCTGCTGGAGACATAGCAGAGATCTCAAGGGACTCTAATAACCACTTCAATCAGGAAAAAGGGTGCTGGCATGAAGTGTCAGGCAAGCCTATCTTGCCACAAGAACAAGCACGCGCCATGGTTAAACAAATGCACCAATGGACTCATCTGGGAGTAAACAAATTGGTCCAGACTGCCCTAAGGACTAAATATCATATCATGGAGCTAAAACAATTAGCAGAACAGATAGAAAGGGGATTCCCCCATTGCCAGGGGAAAAAACTTGGCCGATTCTGAAGCAAGGGCGACAGCCAATAGGTCCACTTCTCTTCTGCTAGTTAACATCCCAAAGCTGGAGGAGCCCAAGTTTAAGTACTCTGTGGAAGACGTAGCAGAGATCTCCAGGGACTCTAATAACCACTTCAATCAGGAAAAAGGGTGCTGGCATGCAGTGTCAGGCAAGCCTATCTTGCCACAAGAACAAGCACGTGCCATGATTAAACAAATGCACCAATGGACTCATCTGGGAGTAAACAAATTGGTCCAGACTGCCCTAAGGACAAAATATCACATTATAGGGCTAAAACAATTAGCAGAACAGATAGTTTATAAGTGTGTGCCATGTCAAATGGTAAATGCTTGTAAAAATACCACGGGACCTCGCAAAAGACCCAGGGAAGACAGACCTGGGGTATATTGGGAAGTAGACTTTACAGAGATCAAGCCAGGTAAATATGGTTACAAGTATCTCCTAGTTTTTGTAGACACCTTCTCTGGATGGGTAGAAGCATTCCCAACAAAGCAGGAAACTGCCACCGTCGTGGTCAAGAAAATCCTGGAAGAAATCTTCCCATGCTTTGGGGTACCCAAGGTAATTGGGTCCGACAATGGGCCTGCCTTCGTTGCCAAGGTAAGCCAGGGAGTGGCCAGATACCTAGGGGTCAATTAAAAATTACATTGTATCTACAGAAAGGATGAACAGAACTCTAAAAAAGACCCTGACTAAATTAACCATGGAGACTGGCTTGGACTGGGTGGTGCTCCTTCCCTTGGCCCTGTTTAGAGCTAGGAACACCCCCTCCTGGTTCAACCTGACCCCCTTTGAAATTCTCTATGGTACCCCTGCCACCTTGACTTTACTGGGGAATGGTTTTGAACCCACTTGCCACAGTAACAGTGACTTATATGCCAGGTTAAAGGACTGCAAGCAGTGCAGAAGGAAGTCTGGATGCAGCTGGCAGCTGCCTATGAACCTGGGACCCCCAAAGTTTCTCACCAGTTCCAAGTCGAAGACACAGTCTACATGAGACGACATCGCTCCCAGACTCTGAAATCCCACTGGAAGGGACCTTAACCTGGTGCTCCTAAGAACAGCGACGGCCGTGAAGGTGGACGGGATCACCACTTGGATCCACGCCTCGCATGTAAAGCCTGCACCACCAGCCGAGGACCAAGGATCAAAAGACGCTACCTGGGAAGTCCAGAGTTCCAAGGAGCACCCCTTAAAATTCAAAATCATTCGGACTAGGGGTTCAGACACCTTGGATGTTGTAAGATGAAAATTTTATTTTTTCTCCTTCTGTACCTTCTGTACCTGGTAGTTTTTCCCCAGAGTCTGATAGCTTCCAGCCCACATACTCCTCCTCGGAAATTAACTTGGTATGTTATAAATGGGGTAGGGGATATAATCTGGAACTCATCCAAAGTCACCTTGGGGTCATGGTGGCCTGGCCTGTTTCTCGATGTGTGCAAATTATCCATGGGAGCCCCAGCAAACTGGGATTTAGAAGGATACTTTGATGCTCACAAACCCCCTTCTGCCCCCTCCCCACCGGGGTGTTTCAGGCTTGATCCATGGGGAGGCTGCTCTACTAGAAATCGGAGAAGTATGCTGAGCACTCTCACCTTCTATGTGTGCCCTGGGTTCCACTGTGACAGAGCACTAAACCATCAGTGTGGAGGTAAAGCAGATTATTTCTGTAAAAGCTGGGGCTGTGAAACTACAGGGGACACATACTGGAATCCCTCAGCCACCTAGGACTATATAAAGGTAACTGCTAATTATACCAACCCCTCTCCCCCTGGTCAAGGGTGGGCAACCCGATCGGAAAGCAGCCAACTTAATTGGAAAGACATCCCTGCCTGTAGTGGATGGTGCCAACCCCTCAGAATATCCTTCACAGATTCAGGAAAAAAGGCCATTGGACGGGAACAAGGTTTACATGGGGGTTAAGTTTCTATAAAGAAAGGTATGATGATGGGCTGTTGTTTACCATCAAGCTCAAAGTAGAAACCCAGTATAACAGCTTAGGCCCAAATAAATACTTAGCTCCAGTGGGACCTCCAATGGTCAAACTAAAGACTACCCCAGGACCCCCGGGTACACAACCAGTGTCCTCATCCCCCGCTAAAAGGTCAAAGTCTAGGGCACCAAAAAAAATGTCTAAACCCCCTAAGCCTAAACCTCAAAAACAACCTGGGTTATTCCGCCTAGTCTCTGAAGCCTTCAAGGTCTTAAATAATACCAACCCCAATGCAACTTGCTCCTGTTGGCTTTGCTATAACATTGCTCCCCCATATTATGAAGGAATAGCCTTCAGAGGCAAGGTTAATGCTACAACTAAGGTCTCTGACTGTCGCTGGCAACAACAAAGAGTCAAACTTACTCTGCCAGCGGTCACGGGGTGCGGAACATGTGTGGGAAAAATCCTTCCCTCACACAGCCAACTGTGCAAATTGACCCTTAACTTAACCAAATTGAACAGTGACACATATCTGTTGCCCCTTCCAGGGGGATGGTGGGCCTGCAGTACTGGGTTTACACCCTGCGTTAGCTCAAAGGTCCTGAAAGAGACCCAGGATTTCTGTGTCCTGGTTCAGTTGCTGCCTCAGTTTGTTTACCATCCCTATGAAGAACTACTATCATACTGGGATAAAAATAATGGGTATTACGGAACCAAAAGGAAACCTGTAACTGTCACGCTCTCTGTCCTTTTGGGCTTAGGATTAGGAGCAGCTGGGGCAGCNAAA